AAAGAACCAAATTTTATGACTGTTTTTTGTGACAAACATGTGTTCCGATCACTCTATCACAGAAAAATAAGAGTTGTAGAACTTATTGGAAACTCAAGACAGCCATAACATTATGATTTTTTACAAGTGTATGTACACTTTTGACCACAACTGTATATTAAAAGCAAAAATAATTGCTGTAACTTGGGTTAAAAGCACAATAAAATCTATTCATTAATTAGTTAATAGTTATTCATAAATAATTTAAAATAATTATTTAAGCCATCAAACGTTTTGTCATTTATTTTGGGTAAAAGTACTGTTTATTTGCCGCACGTTTGTTTGAAACGTACATCTAAAAAAAATTTTTTTTTCCACAATCTACGCTGTCGTGCTGTCAAGCATTTATTTCATTTGTTGACGTAAACAGATTGTCCAATCATATGTGTGAGGGCGGGACCTAAGTGAGGCAGGTGAAAGGTCAGCCTCCGGGGTTCGACTGCTAGTTTGCTATTGTTGAAGGAGGCTGAAGGAGCTAAGCTAAAGAGAAACAGTGATAATATACGTGCGGATGCAGAGTCGACTTTATTGTTTTGGACTGTTTAACCTCCGGGTGAGTGAGTACTTGCTGTAAATGGTTCAGGGCGTAAATATATGACGCTAATCACGAGTTAGCATTTAGCATTTGCCCGCAGACTATTGGTAACTGTATGAGAGTATATTATCCTTAGCCAGATATAAGAAACTAAACAAGAGACTTTTATCGCACAGTGAACGGAGAGGAATTATCTGGACTCTCTGACATTGACGTTGGTCGAGTTTTGCCAGAGTTCTCCATGTTGCCCGGCGCAGTGAAGCACCTTTAAACTCAGATGTCCAGTGGTACCCGCTTGGTCACGGACAAGGCCTCATCCATCCCTCACACCTAAGCTAACTCAAAGGCCTCTGTGAGTAAACTGTAGCAGGTGCGTTTATTTTAAAACGGATTAGTATTTGTTTCTCCTGTTTACCAGTAATTGTTTATTAGTGAGACGCTAACATTACCACAGTACTGCCACATAAGGTTTTGATGTGTGAAATAATTACAATATCTTCAAATTTATTAAGTTTACTGAAGTTACACTCATTAAAATGACACATTTTTGTTTTAGTTTAACAAATTTAAACTTATGTTTTTTCAGTAAGGAGAACAAATTGGGTTGTACAGTAGAGTTCATTACAGCCGACTCCAAATTACCAAGCTTGTTGAGTTCTTTAAACTTGAGTTGTACAGCTGAAAACTTTTTTTTTTTTTTTTTTTTTTGGGCAATGAGTTTGAATACATTTTTTTTTTTAGAACCAAGTCCACTTATTGCGTCTTACAACGTACAGAACTGGGGATTGAAGAGAGGAGGCAGGACTATAAAAAGTGGTAGAGAAGATGAGTCAAAAATCCAGTTTCAGACTTTGGAAAGCCGCTCCCTGTCAGCTGTTTAATGTGCTCATAGGAGGATAAAACGCTGCCTTCACTTCTCCTGCCAGCAGCTCAGGCATAACGGAGAAGAAGCAGAGACGGTAAGGAATAGCTGAAAAAGACCGGAGAAAGCAGTGGGAGGGGGTCTGGAAGTGGTACGCATGGCTGGAGCAAAGCAGCAAGCACTCGTCCAAGCAAACTAGCGGGAGCTATCGATCCTTTTCTCCTTTTTCTTTTTTTTTTGTGAGTGTTTTCAACCTGTTGTCTCCCGTCGCTCTGTAAGGCCGGTGTTTTGAGAGCCCACCTGAGACGAAGGGCAGCTCATGAGTTTCGTCCCTTTTTATTTCCATTTCTTTCTTCCACCCACATCCCTCTTTCCCTCACAGTTTCCTTTCTTTTCTTTTTTCTTTGGCCAAAGATTTGCTTTTGTTCCCTTCGTAGCTTCCTGGTGACCTGCTGATTGTCCCCGTCAAGTGGGACAGAACGGATGGCTGCTGGTTGTCTGCCTTGTCTCACTCTGAGTGCACTCGGAGAGGATTTGTTGAAGATTTTGTGACCTTTTCAGGTCCTCTTCCGCGTATCTGGCCCTGTTCTGCGGCTCGCTGATACGCTTGTTACGGCCACCTCTGCAGTTAGATTAAATCTTCCTCCGCTTTGTTCCGTTACACTCTCACCGACTGGGTCACACAAAGAAGCCTTCGTGGAAGAGAAACCATTGGGGCTGGAGCAAACAGACTTAACAGTCCACACGGCGGGTCGCTTCATGGTGCCAGATGGCAATTTTTCTACATTTACTTTCAACGAAAAGTAGATAATAAATTTAACATTTTGTAAGCAAATTTGCTGAATGGAAACCTCCCAATTACAAGATTTCAAGAGTTTGGGCGCTAGGATGAGGTGTTTTTTTTTTTTGTTTTTTATTTTTTATTTTTGCAAAACTTCTGTGAGTACACATTTTTTTTGGTATCCCACAAGTCACGTGATCAACAACCGGATGTTGCCACTTGCGCAGACCCCGAAGAAGACAACAGGAAGTAGTTGAAAGATCATGGTGTTGCATGTTTTATAATGACTTGTAAGGCAGTGGCTTAAATATGTCAGCAGAAACCACCAAGGTGTCATAATTGTTCTTTGGATTACAGCAGTTGGTGTAGTTTGTCCTTTAATGAACACCGTACTTTGGCTTCTGCTACCATGAGCTGGCAGGATTTCGATTGGTGTTACACTAATTGCTGGCTCCTCACTATAGCCAGTTATTTTACATTTTTTTATTTATGCAGTTAGTGAGATGTTGGTTCATCTCACTAAGACCGTCTTATAAATATCAGCTGTAAGTTTTGCTGGCACTCCCCGGGTTATGTGAATGACTTAATATCCTCAGTAATAATTTTTTATGTTTAATCACTGAGTATTTAATTTTGTATTGTTCTTTTTAATATATGCTGTATTTGGAAAACCGCTTTAATGTGAGTTATGTTAAAACACAGTGATTTCTTATATTTCATAAGGTGAAGCCGCTATCAAGCGTGCCGAATAAATGTAACCGTCTCAGCCATGACCTCAAACACTGTGTGTCTGACTCCTGCCTCAGCCTTCACTCCGATAACAACCCTTCAAACACAACGCATAGCTTTCAGAAATAGTGAGGTCGTCTCACACGGGCAGGGCTACAGATTTATGACGTGAACAAATTTATTCACATGGGATTTTAATTGCCTGTGATGGACTGGCAACCTGTGGAGGGTGACCCCGCCTCTCACCCGTTGACAGCTGGATATAGGCACCAGCACCCCTCCTGACCCCAATGGGATAAGGATGTTAGAAAATGGATGGATGGATGGATTTTAATTGCGTTTCTTATTGAATGGAAATCCTGCAATTGTGGAATTGTTATTTGTAATGGAAATGCAGCTCCTCCAGCTCCTTTTCCTTTTCCTAAAGGATTGTCACACAGAGAGCAGAGTTTGTGATTCAGTCAATTATGACAAATCGTAAAGCAGCCCCAGACAACCGGCCGGCGGACATCTCCAGCTGCCTTTGGGCAAGAGACGGGTCGCCAGGGGCAACACAGAAACACACAGGACAAACAACCAGGCACACACTCTCTCATACCTAAGGGCATTTCAGAGAGGCTAATTAAGCTAAAAGTCATGTTTCTGGATAGTGGGAGGTAGACGGAGAACCCAGAGAGAACATGCTAACTCCATGCAGAAAAACCACAATCTGGTATTCAAACACAGGATTTTCATCCTGAAATCATGATCTGAAAAATTGCATATATTGTTAAGTTTCTGCAAGATATTTTTGTCTAATGTAAAAATTAGATTGATGATCTAAAAATTATGTTTGGAGGGAAATGCTTGTCCATCCCTAGTTGTTGTTTTCAGCTATTTAAGCCAAAGGCTCTGGTTTCTCAGACAAATATTTAATCTAATCTAATCAAAATGTATTTATAAAGCACATTTACAACAATCTCATTTGACCATAGTGCTTCACAATAATTACAACATCATAGATGTGCGATAAAATGATAAATTAATTTGATAAATTTGTAGTAAAATAATATGAATAAAAACAGACATGCACTTAATTTCAGCTGCAGCAATTTCCCAAAAACTAGAATCAATTACTTTTTCTTTTTTTTTTTTTTACTCTAATCTGACTGAGATGATTAAGAACATTAAGGCTGATCCAAAACAGTGTACTGTTGGTAGTAGATAAAATAATAAAGATATGAAAAGTCTTTAACCTCATTCAGAGACGGTTGCCACAAAAACTGACTAGAGATTAACCATTCAGTGTTCAGAATGTTTAAAATCCCGGGTTAGATTATAATCTTTTAAATACCAGTCTCTTTACAAACTGTTAAAATCATTGGAAGTGGATACCTTTATGATGCTTAATTAAAAATACCCATGTACTTTGTTGATGAGACCAACTAGCTGAGGGAGTCTGAATGATCTCCTTTACAAAGAAACTGCACAAATAATTAAAGGAAAAAAGATGACAGTGCCATCTAAACTTTGATTTCCCATCTAAATAGAATCTGCATTCACTGTGATGCAAGTAGGACTTTTTTTTTAGTTGGAGACTATTTTGTAAGTGGGACACAGCGTGATGGAGAACAAATATCAGTTAGCTGTTTTTTCTTTTTTTACTTTAAAAGGAAAAGGCTAAAGTGTTTTACTGCTAAAACTCGTCAGCTTTCTCTTTCCTGTTTCTGGGATGTTAAGACTGTCAGAACTGCCGACTTTTTGTGGATTTTACCATAAAAAATGGAAAATGAATAAATGTGAAGGAATAACATTTTTTGTAAAAAAAAAAAAAAAAAAAAAAAAAAAAAACTTAACTCCACAGAAGACGTCTCTTGTCTGATTTGCTCTTTTCACACCCAATGAGCAATGAAACTGTTTGCTGTAGGCAATAAAAGGACAAATGGCATACTCAAAACCTCGTTAGTCTTGCTTGTTAAGTTCCAGTTTGAAGTTTGAGTGGCCGACCAGGTCCTATGCAGAAAGAGAAGTGACATGAAAAACAACTCTGAATGTTTCAAATCATCCAAAATAATTTAACATCAGGCAAAAATAATCTGAGTAAATACAAAGGGCAGGTGTGAGTTTGTTTGTTGTTAAAGAAAAGATACCAAAACCACATGGCTTTTGTTCAGTTTTATTAGCGAGGCCTAGGCTAGAATCAGTCTGACGATATAAAATAGACTCAATTATGTCAATTGATCACAAATCTTGCCCCAGTATAAAGTAATTAAAGAAAAGTTGTAAAGACACAGAGCACAATGGATCAATGGGAGACAGGCTCCTATCTTTGGACCTCAAGAGGAATGATCTAGAGCACAGGTGTCAAAGTCCAGCCCTCTAGGACTGGACTTTTAGATGTGCCTCTGCTCCACCACACCTGAATAGAATAATTAGGTCGTTAGCAAGGCTCTGGAGAACTTATCTACACAAAGAGGCGGTAATTAAGCCATTTCATTGCAGTGTTTTGTACCTGTGGCACATCTAAAAACTGCAGGACAGCGGAGGACTGGAGTTTGACACCCCTGATCTAGAGTGAATCATTACAGCGAGAAACTAGCAACAGTCCTGGAATCTGGGTATAGAGATGGACTGAACTCTGACCTGAACCATCAGTCACATAAAGACGGTCACAAAGTCGGCCTTCTATCACCTGAAGAATATTTCCAGGATTAAAGGACCAATGTTTCAGCAAAATCTATAGAAACGCATCCATGTGTTTATCTTTAGTCACATTGATTACTGCCACAGCGTCTTTACAGGTCCGCCTAAAAAAAAAAAAAATCAAACCTCTCGCTTCAGCTGATCCAGAATGCTGCTGCTGGTGTTCTCTCTAAAACCAGAAAGATTAAGAACATCACCCATTTCTTAAGTCCTTCCACTCACTCCCTGGAGCTCAGAGAATAGACTTTAAAATGCTGCTGTTAGTTTAAAAATCACGGCTTAGCACCACAGTATATTAAAGATCTGTTGTTGTTGTATCAACCTTCCAGTCCTCTGAGGTGTTCTGGTTCTGCTCTGCATCCCCAGAACCAGATGCAAACATGGAGAAGCAGCATTCAGTTTCTATGCACCACAAATCTGGAACAGACTTCCAGAAAACTGTAAAACTGCTGAAACACTGAGTGCCTTTAAATCAAGACCAAAAAACCCAACTGCTTAGTGCTGCCTTTAATAGTACTGGACCATTAATCAATATTATCGATGTGGTGATTGATGATTTTAACAGTGGCTCTTGACAAAATGTAATGTCTTTTATTGGTTTTCACAACTGTTGACCATACGATGCGTTTGCTTTTTTTGTGTTTTAACAATGCAAAGCACTTTAACTGCCATGGTGCTGAAATGTGCTATACACATAAACTTGATTGACTGCCAAAGTAAAGAGCACTGCCAGGCAGCCTTCTAATGGCGGTACTAATTAATTTTAGGCCTGAAGTTTAAGCACATGTAGTTATGAAGCAGGACGATGATCCAAAGCACACCACCAAGGTCATATCTAAAGGACTTTAAAAATAAAAAATAAAAAGAACTTTTCAGAATGGCAACATACTCGAACACCCTACAATATGGCCGAGAGTAAAAGAAGGGTGGACCAGAAAAGACTCACTGCCAGTTATTGCCAAAGATTGATGGCTTTTGCAATGTGTTGATCAGCACAGCCATTCCAACAAGTTTCAGTTTAGGCGGTAACTACTTCTTCACATGTAGCCAAATTTCTTCTTCGTTTTTCTTTTTTTCTTTTCTTTTTTACACAAATTATGTTAGATTTTTTTAAGCTAACAATTTTTTCTTCTAACAAAAAATGTAGCCTTAGGACAAATTGTCATATTTTTTACATTCTCAATTGGTCCTTTCTGGTCAATAAGAGTCAAGTCACCATCGGAAAATGATGAAGAACCGTGACTGAGAAAACACAAGGAAATGAAGGATGGAAAGGGGAGGGAAGGCGGATGAAAGCAAGAGAGTTAGCGAAAGAAAAGACATTAATGGCAGGGATAAAAATAAGAACGAGGGCGGGTCCTTAGTGTGGCGCTTTTCTCTGGTGCACAGAAGGTCTATGGAGCAAATCCAAATCCTGATAGTAACTTAAATAGCTATTAAGTAAAAAGCCAGTTATTACCCTTTGCATAAATTTGAGCAAGCGCAGTCTGTTTGATGTGCAGTCTTCTTTCTTGCAGTCAAAGTAGTGAACATAAGAGGAAAGAGGAGAATAATATTATGGGGGAACACTTAAGGTCACTGAAGTAGAGGCATAAACAATCCGCAGAAGTC